ATAGATCTTGCTTATTTGTTGGGGTGGTTAGCCATCTATTGGCTCCAAAACTCACATATGAATGCTGTTAGCAAATCCTTTGTATTGACAAGGAACACTTGATCTCGGGAATCGTGTATAAGAAGAATCAGGAGTGTGAGGCGTTGAGTTGGGATTAATGTGACAGTATCTTGCAGGTGATACGGATGATAGGGAAGAGCACACTGACTTATGTTTTATCCTTGGGTGAAAGTCCAAATTCTTGGGTTTTCACCAAAAAGCAAGCCTATGTTGCTCTTTCTCATGCGAAGCAGCAGTACATTGCGCCAACCGACCGTACGTCAAGGAATATGGTTACAAAATATGGCAGTTTGGAGGCAATAATAAGTTAATAGCCTATTCTTAAGGATAGACAATAAATTCAGCAATCTCTTTAGCCACAATCCAGTTTCATCACGAAAGAAGTAAACATATTCGCACAACCGGTTTCCACTTTTCGTGCCACTGCGTAACAAATGGAGATGTCAGCTGCACTTACACCAGCACCAGAACGGTAGCTGGCGCATATTCTAACTAACCGCTAGGCCAGCACAAAGATCTTTCTGGAGCTAAGGACACAGCATTGCAGTCAGCAGTTATAAGGGGCGTGATTGTTAATGTTTTAAACTTGTGGACTAACATTTAATTGCTGCTGTATTTTGTTATTTGTCTTGACTGGTTTTTTGCTAAAAGTAGGCGTAAGTGGGCTACATAAACCACGTTGGCAATAGAGCAGTCCCTTGCTAGCTATTCTTTAGGGTATAGTAGCCGATTTTGCTGTAACAACTCCTCTACAGGACTATAAGAGGGAGCTAGATTAGAGTTTTTTCCAATCCTTGTCTAATCACAAAATTAGGAATTCAATGTTTTCCTCCTCAAAACTGTGTCTTCTATCTGCAGAATTAAGTGCAGCCAATAGAGTTCCTATTTTGTTTTATCCTTACGCTAGATAGGTGCCTTCCACTTGCTGTGATTTCCACATCCCTAACGGCTGTCATCCCGCGTCGCTCTCTTTGATACATAACTCTACCATCGACAGAATTACTTGAAGTTTGAATCTATCCAACCGATCTCAAGCATATAATGCAGGAATTTGTGAGAAACAAGCTAGAGGACATAGAACGAATTGCTTTTGGCGGCTATTATCTAACATCACAATATTTGTGTGGATTTGCTTAGGTCAGGCCCATTGCTGTCATATTATAACAAAGCGTCGAATATGGTTCGTCGCTAGTTTTGGGATTGAATGATTTACGCCACAAGAGGAAGCTAACCTCGTGAGGAGAAACGCTTGGCTTCGGGGTGATTGTCAAATTAATTTAATTTTATTTTTTTTAATTGGATTTGTTCAATTTGTTGCTTGGATCTTTCCATAGCTTGTTTAGTTAGGTAGAGGTTTACGTCAGTTCATATTTTAATTATTGGTCTGAATGCGGGTAGTAGTATGATATAGGTTTGAATAGAATACTCGGTTGAGGCGTATGATCATGCATGTTATGAATGTTTTTTCATTTTTTTTTTCTTTTTTTACGTTTTTTTTCGGAATAGGGTGTCATTTTTATGTATTCTAGTATGTAATTTTATTTCTGGCATTTTAGTGCATGATTTTTCATTCCGTTAATATTCTGGACAAAGCTATTGTCCGTATATGAAGAAGTTGAAGTATTGGGTTTGGATTCGATTTAGTTTTTTTTGTTTTGATTATTTGGATGTGAGTTTGTGTTTGGAATTTGTTTGAGCTGTCAAATTGGTATTACTTGTTATATAATTTAAGGGGGGTGAAGGCCTCTAAATTGGGGGAGGAACTGAGTTGAATGAATTAATTTTAGTATTGGGAGGGTTTTTCAAATTTCACGGATCCAAGGCCACGGCTGCGGATTCCAGAATCCAAGTGATGACAGTACTTGGAACCCTGTGTCTCAAGGATGGATATCGCAAGCGTTCTTTCATTCGATTCTGCAGTGCTCGGATAGTGAGAAAGTAATCAGTGTGTATCAGTTGTGTCAGTTTCAATGACTGTTTGGGATATGATCTTGTTCGTCTGTTTTGTGTATGATCTTGTATCGTTCGTGTTTGTGGATATGTCTTGTCTTCGTCTCTAATCCACGATTTGCTACCAGAAGTTCAGCGACTCAACGAGTTTAGTCATCCCCAACCATAATTATTAATTGTTATTGTTGCTCCAATTTTGTGTGGCAATTTGTATTTTCCTGCAAATAATCGTTTGGCCCCCTTACCATCTTTGCACATGAAGTTTGAATCATAGAGATAACCAATATTCTACGAATATTGTTCATGGAACTTTGCGCGATGAAATTACTGCATATTTTTTATCATCATTAGAGCTCTTTCGTTTAGAGAATGGAGTATTAGAGTTTGAATTGCGTATGATTTCATTTGTTCTCTTCAGGGCAAGCAGATGAGTTTGTTGATTGCTTCACATGGAACAGCTTTCGGGCTTTTGCAAGGGAGAAGTATGAACCATTGTGGATAGCGAGGGACATTGCAATCTGGTTTTATCAGAATTCATTCGAGGACATCTGAAGAAGTTGTGTGCCTTCGCTAGGAAATAAAGCCCCACAGAATGGCTCTAAGGACACTGTGTTTAGCAAATCGAAACAAACATCTGAGAGGTGAACTTCAGATACTTGTCGAATTGGGTGCTGACCTTTCCGAATCTCTAGAATGTTTAGATAGTAGCTTGAGAAGTCTAAGAAGCAGATAAACCTGAAATCCGGATGAGCAATGACGGTCTGTTGATAGATTTGGGAAGAAAAGGCTTGGTCTGGTGATTGTTACACGAGAGCTCAATAAAATATGTGCATGGGAATCCATTGAGAAGGGTGGGGATAGTGTATTTTTCATCTTGCTTTTGTAACGCCAGGCACACAAGTTTCTTTTAAAGTCATTGTTCTGAGTTGTAATTTTCTACATAATTGTCATATTTGTATGCTCTTGAAGAAGAGTCAATTGGCTAATCTTGATTTTAAGTTTTTTAAACTCATCTCTATAAAACGTGTACTCTGCTCATTCAAATTTAGTCTATGTTTAATGTTTTGTCGCTAATTTTAGAAGTAGTCATCTGTTTTTGTTATTGTCTAAAGTGGTTCTTTTACCGCGTTTCATACTTCGTTGATTGTTTTGGAATTGGAAACTAGGCTGGCCAAACTTTGGGAAAAATTGACCAATCGATATTGTTCAGTTCTGTTATGTTCAAGTTATTTTTACAAAAATCCTACTTGTAGCGCTGATTTGGAAATTGATTCTATTTTTTTTTTTCGTGTAGAACTAAATTCTTTGGTCTTGTTTGGTTCTTTTAAATAAAATAAACGCTCCATATGCTTTTAAATAGTTAAATTCATAATTGAAACCGAATTTGACTTGTTTAGTTTGATTTCCTATACTGTGCCGGTCCCGCAACTATTCATGGCACCCAACCGGACGAGGAGTGGGTGAATTGGATTTTTCTAAAAAACTGAATAAAATTAGAATTTCTAAACAAGAATTAATATTTTAAGCCCAGCGCGAGGTATAAAAACACACAGAACTTGTTGAGAATAAGGAATATGGTTAGAATATTCCTCAATGTTCTAATCTATAAAAGATAGAGTCCTGTGCGCAGTGTGCAGCTATTGATTAGAACAGCTTCACACTGACTTATACAATATTAGAACTTCTTTATGAAGGAGAGCTATTGAAATTAGAACTTCCTCATAAAGTATTTAGAAAATCATATAAGGTTATGTGAAAGACAGTTATTGAATTTAGAACTTCTTCACAGAACCTTAATCAAGTATCAGAATAACTTTATGATGGAAAGCTATCGTGATTAGAACTTCCTCATAAAGTTTAGAAAATTAAATTGAAACCCAATCAGTAAATTATACTGGAAATAGAACAACAGTTAGAACATTGTATATTCACTTTATTAGAATACCAGAGTTCTAATGTTCAGTAAAGATAAAGCTTATTATCGTTTTAGAACAACTGAATATTAACAATTTTAGCGTTTAAAAAAAAATTAAACAAGAGTGTGAAAGAGACAGTATCAACCAAACTACAGAAATAAAGAGATCAACACCAAGAGTTATAGTGGTTCGGTACTAACTCGCCTACATCCACTCCCCAAGAAGCATCTTGAGATCCTCCACTAAGTTATCTCTTTTCAAGGGTAAGAGACAAACCAACAGTACAAGGCAATAGATCAAAAACCTAGATCTACCCTTTTGTTTATTTTCCAAGGTTCTAGTACCCTTCAAAACCCTTTTGCTGTTTTTGGTTTAGAGTACAGAAAACTCAATTCAAGACATGTTCTATTCATGGAGAAGGTCGTTTGATAACCTCTATCTTAATAGCTTCTAAACTAAGCTATTACACACAAAAGTTTAACAAATAAAGAGCCTGTCCACTATAGATTACACAATCTTAATAGACAGAAAGAAACGTCCATATAAGCACAGGAAAAACAGTTTTTATCAGATTAGAAGATCAATTAGAACACAAAACTGTTTTTTAAAAGTAATTGTAAAAGTTCTTTTCACTTTAAATATCGAAAACGTTAAGTTTAGAGATGAAAAGAAAATGGGGGGTAGAGTAAGTTTTGAGAGATAATGATTTGTTCAATGAGAAAATGCTCTTAAAACGAAAACTCTTACCTTCACCAAATGTTTAAGCGCATTGAATTGTCCTTTATATAGGAAACAAGGGAGCTGTCACCTTTTGGAAGAGATCGAATTCTTCTTTCCTTATTTTAGAAAGATGTGAAAAATTACCAAAAATTATTTTATCCCTTTTTGGTAAGAGAATAAAACCCGATTTTCACTTTCCTTTAGAAAAGATTTTCGACAGCGTTTATTTTGGAAAGAATTATTTGCGGAAAAGATGTTCTTACTAAAACCGAAAGATATTTCATTTTTAGGTAAGAAAAAAAATATAATTTTAAGTACTTTAGATCTTTCAAAAAATTTTCCGAAAAGGAGAATGATTTTATTACCCAAAACATTAGAAAGAAAATCTCTTTAGTTTTAGGAAAATAAATCTTTTCGATTTAAAGAAATATTTTCGAAAAAATAAAATAAAAGAATTTATTTTGTCTAATTTTCGAATACTTGAGGAGAAAAGGATTTTTGTTGCTCATATGTAACATTTCTCTCTTCTCAAGTTCCTAATGCCTAGATTATAGTGATCTTTCGAATCTTCACTCTCAATGTGGCTTGCCTTGTATATTTTCCTTCAAGCATAAAATAAAATTAGCACAAATAATATAATTTAAATTTATTTGTTTTGTAATAATCATCAAAATCCGAGATAAGCATTTTGACCCTTGAGCCAACATATACACTATTCAGTTTTGGTTCAATTTAAATAAAAAAAAAAATATCAGCCTACTGAGTCTGCATTGCTTCAGCTTGGTTTGAACCAGACCGATGAATGGCCGCCTCTATCTGAAAGTATCGAGTGATTGAAATCAAAGGTTTCAATATATGAGCCATCTGAAAGATTCAAAAGACCTTTCTTTTGATTGTAAAGAAAATTTTAAAATAAAAGATTAGTTGCAAATTCCTATGTTTAGGACAAATCAAATTTCTACTTGGATTTTCATTTTTTGTAATACTAATATCGTAATTTGGCCTATTAATACCAATATTATAATATTGAAATAAAATACCCAAGCGTAAATCACAAAAATCATTTTTCCTATGAGATTACTAATGGGTTTTACATATATATACGGTACATACTACCTACATGTGTGTGTATATTTACCGTCGATGCTATCGCTGGTCATCATTGTTGTTGTCATCGGTAGCGATCATCGTGTTTGAATTATAAAAGCTGTATAAGGATAATTTGAGAATTACTAATTTATTTTTTTTAACAATATTGACATGTTCTTAATTTATATATATTTTTTTGACATTTTGTTAATTTAGAAAGCTAATTTTTAACATTTGTCCCTTGAAATTAAGATTTGAAAAGGCCTTTCTAATTAAGAAAATCTTAATCTTTGAGTTAATTAAAATTTGGGTGGAAAGGGGTTCAAGGTATGGTCCCCATTTTCTTAACTTTGTTGGTTTCTAAATTATAAAAAAATTAAGGAAAGTATTTTTAAATTTCTCATTTTACCATATTCTGTGTGGTTGGTTTACTTTGACTCTTCAAAAGGACCACATATGATGTACTGAACTATAGATGCATCTTCCGCGTTTTGATTTATATAGCTGATTTATTCTTTGGTAGGAAATTTGAGTTAGGGATTCACTTTCTTCTAATTTTTTTCATATTAACAAAGCTAGCATTGACCACCATTAATCAACCATTCCAATTGAACCTTTTCTTTACAAATTATCACATATCCTTAAAAACTCTCTGTCTCTTCATCTCTCACTCTCTGAAAATGCAATCCCGTTCCTTCACAACCCTGTCTTTGGCTTTAATTTAATCGATTACTATAATCTTCACTTACCCTTCAATTTGTATCTGCAATTGAGCGTACCGAACTGCAGCGGAACATTTGAATTGTGGAAAATTACAGGTATTGATCTATTCTGGGGATCAGCCCGACATATTTTACTGTGCCCAACCGGACTTCTGCTTTGATTGACAGAAGAACCGCAGTGTGATCCAATCACCAAGTCCTTGACATCTATAGCGAGTCACGGACTCTTAAGGTTGCTAGAACAGACTACATAGGAGGAATCTGTCCTAATCTCCTTCACAACACCACTTTGAATTCAGCTTCTTTCAATTATTCTTCGGGCATTCGGAATATAACTCTGTACTATGATTGTCCTGCTCGTTCGACTGCAATTACTACACCTCAAGGGTTTTCAAGTCAGTTTACTTGTACCTTAAACGACAGCGATAGCAATGGTTTTTATGTGACAAGAAGGCTAAGTGGTTATGACAATGCAATAATCAGCTTCTTGGTATCCTGCAAAAATAACGTTACTGTTCCGGCAACAGAATCAGCTGTTCTGCCTATAGAGATTAGTCCTAGAGAGGAAAATTTGATTGCAGCTTTAGAGCAGGGTTTTGGACTTCAATGGACTGCAAATGATTCTACTTGTGCCACGTGTAAATTGTCTGGTGGGCTGTGTGGTTACAACTATACCACTAGTTCATTTGCTTGTTATTGCTCTGATCAGGCTCAACCGTTTAGCTGTGGAACAACAAATCAACAGGAATCAGGTGTGTCTTCTTTTTCTTTCTCCTGCTTTGCCTTGCTTAATAACGACTCTGCTTCTTCGTCTCCTCCAAGATCGGTGGTTTTCAATGGAAGAGAGAAAAAAGTTGTAGAGACCCCAAAAGAGCAAGAAAGAAAGAGAAAGAGAGACGATAGACTAGGGTAATAAATACGGGTTAAATGGTAATTCACTATTCTTGTCTCGTTGGACAACCTATGTGAAATAAATGTGAGACAATGTAAAGAGACACGCGGGTATATGTGTATTTCAATTAGTTCCATTAGACATTCTGATTATCCATGTCATCAGGAGACACAAAATAAAAAAAAAATAAAATTAAATACTTAATTGTCACAGTTTTCTGTTCAAAAACCAAAATAGAAAAAAAAAACTAAATACAAACATCAAAATTAACATTATCCATTAAAATTTTGATAGCACTTGCTTTACTTTTATATATAAGGGAAAATTATTTCATCCTTGAGGTTTTACAAAATTAATTATTTCCTTACGTTTTTATATATTAGGTATCTAGTCTCCGAGATTTGTATCTATCTCATTAAATGGTCCTTCTGTCCGATCAACTCTTCTTCCGTTAAATAAGACTTAAAAAGTAAGAGAGATGAGATAAAAGTATTTTAAATGGAAAAATATGATACAATCCATGTGGTTTATGAAATACAACTAAATCGTCTCTATCTTTTTTAAAATATATTAATTTTTGAATCTTTTCAGCTAAATCAATAAAAAAAACATAGAGATTAAAGGTGAGATACTAAAACATTATACTAAAAAAATTACAGTACGGCCTATATAATTTGAAAAATACAATTAGTTCTTCCTTATATTTTTAAATGATTTTTAAAATTTATTGAATTTATATAGTTGCATAAATGGCGATTTGGGGCGAAGAGGAGAAGAAAAAGCATGGTGACTTTAATTTTTGTCTTATCAAAAGGGCATTTTAGTCTTTGATTAGATATTTAACAGGAAAACTCATTAAAATTAAGTGGAAGGACCACATGAAAGGAATCAAACCTCGGAAACCGATAGAACGATGAGTTAATTAATTTTGTAAGAACCAAGGGACAATAATTATTTTCGTGTGACACTAATCCGTCCCAAACTTTATTTCATTATGGTCATTCATCGCCTACTGCAGGAGACAAATCAAATATAGCAGGAGACAAATCAAATATAGCAGTGAAACTTGGAATAGGTACGATTAAGTTCTGCTACGAACATACACGTTTAAGTCGAAATAAAATTAGTTACACAGTAGAAAATCTGAGGAATCTTTTTGCCATTTCAGGACTTGGCACAGCAGTGGCAGTTGCAGCTATTTTCAGTATTTGTTATTGCATCATTAGAAGAGGATTTTGGAGCAAAACGAAGAACACAAAACAAGAAAAAGACATAGAAGCATTCATCATGAACTATCACTCTCTCACGCCACAACGGTATTCATATTCAGACATTAAGAAAATTACCAACTCATTGGCTGATAAACTAGGTCAAGGTGGATTTGGAAGTGTGTATATAGGAAAATTAAAGGATGGTCGATGTGTGGCAGTAAAAGTTTTAAATAAATCTATAGGCGAGGGAGAAGAATTTATTAATGAAGTTGCGAGTATTAGTAGAACTTCACATGTCAATATTGTTACTCTATTAGGATTTTGTTATGAGAGGACTAAAAGAGCTTTGATATATGAATACATGCCTAATGGTAATGGATCTCTAGAGTAAATTACTTATACGATTTAGGAATCAGCTAGAAAGAAAATGTGTATATGACATTGCAATTGGGCATTTGCTAGGGTTTAGAAATAACTTGCATCCGGTGTAATACTAGGATTGTGGCATTTATGATATAAACCTCAAATGGTCCTTTCTAGTGATGATTCTCTGTCCAAAAATCTCTGATTTTGGTCTTGCAAAACTATGCAGAGAAAGAAGTTAGTGTCAATGTTGAGTGCGCGAGGGACATAGGGTAACATTGCTTCCAGAAGTGTTTATGAGGCTAGGAGGGCTTTTACAAGTCTGATGTGTGTATTAGCTACGGAAATGATGATTCCTTGTAAAATGTTTGGCAAGAAGAAACTACTAGTGATATTAAAGCATCAGAGGCAGCGAAAATGTATTTCCAGATGAGCTTTACAAACTATCTTGAGCAGGAGGATTCTCGTATGAATGGATGTGATAGAAGGAGATGATAGAGAGATGGTGAGAGGATGATAATACTCGGTTCATGGTTGTTATTCAAACAAATCTAGTAGACATTCAATGACAAGGAATAGAGATGTTGAAGTTGTTGCATTCTTTGCAAATTCCACCAAGCCTCTGTTTTTGCAACTACACAACTGTTGAGGGAGAGTACTCATCTACATTGTTTTCATCAGAGCGACATGATCCCAGAAGCATGAAGAACATTTTTGTCGTAACGAAATTTTGGAATGTAGGCATTGGAAATTTCGAATTTAATTGTTGAAGTAGCAGGTTTGTTGATTGTGAAAAACCAACCAAACCAATTAAGGGTTTTCTCGTTGCACTTTGATCTATTTCGTGTTTTGTTCATACGGTCTGATCATGTAATAGTATATAGGCTATTTATGCTACACAAAATTTTAATCTCACCAGAAAACAAAAGCATATAGCCATATACCCACTTTCCAGCTTAATTTCAACAATGTTGAATTCAAACTGAGTTAAAGCAAGGAGTAAGAAATAGAAATACCCACTTTAACATCCTTTAATTAATTTAACTCAGGGATTGGTTTAAGAGGCATTGTGTAGGGCAGAATAGCTAGAATTATGTTTCATTGGTTAAAAAATTTACATTTAAAAAAAAACAATTAATTGCAAATTTCTGAATTTAGTAGAAATCAAAATTCTATTCGGATTTATATTCTTTTAATACTCCGATTATCTCCGATTTATCATTCGCTATTAAAATCCGATTTGCCTAACGACTTTAGGAATAAACAAGTTGCCAGTAAAATAAAATTGCCGCATAAATTCAGCAAAAATCACGTCAATTCCTTCAATTCGTTTCTAAGAATTAATCAACATGGAATCAAAGCAAACCATTACCTTGAAGACCTTCGACAATAAGCTTTTCGAGATAGAAGAAGCCGTGGCTATGGAGATGATTACTGTGAAAAGTTTTTTCGATGAGTTTGCTGATAATTCTTCTTCCTCGTCTAAAGCTACCATAATTCCTCTCCCTAACGTGTCATCCGCGTCGCTTTCTTTGATAATAACTTACATCGAGGATTACTTGAAGTTGAAATCTAATCCAACCGATCTCAAAGCTTATAATGCAGAATTTGTGAAGAAACAAGCTGTAGACATAAAAGAATTGATTTTGGCGGTTAATTATCTAAACATCAAGTATTTGTTGGATTTGCTTAGTCAGGCCATTGCTGATCATATTAATAACAAGAGCGTCGAATATGTTCGTGGCTATTTTGGGTTTGAGAATGATTTTACGCCACAAGAGGAAGCTAGACTTCGCGAGGAGAACGCTTGGGCTTACGAGGGTGTTGATCAAGATTAATTAATTTTATTTTTTTTTATTGGTTTGTTCAATTTGTTGCGGTGTTGATCAAGATTAATTAATTTTATTTTTTTTATTGGTTTGCTCGATTTGTTGCTTGGACCTTTCCATGGCTTGTTTAGTTAGGTTGGTAGTTTTATGTCAGTTTCATATTTTAACTAGTGGTTTGAATGATTAAGTAGTAATGATCTAGGTGGAATAGAATAACTCGCTTGAAGCGTAATGATTATGCGATTCATAATATGTTTCATTCTTTTTCCTTTTTTCGGTAGTGTCATTTTATGATTATAGTAGTAATTTTATTTCGGCAATTTTAGTGCATGATTTTTCATCCCGTTAAAATATCTTGACAAGCTTATTGTCCGAATGAAGAAGTTGAAGATTAGGGTTTGGATTCGATTTAGTTTTTTTTGAATGATATTTGGACTTGAAGTTTGTTTTTGGATTTGTTTGAGCTTCAAATTGGTATATACTTGTTTAAATATTTTGATAAAGATAATGACAATCTGTCAATTTGTTATTTGTTATTTCTGATATGTATAATTAGTAGTATAGTTATAATAGGACACTCCTGTATATAATGTATAGATGGGTATTTTCAGAAATCAATTGGAAACTCAAATACTTTCATGGTATCAGAGCAAAAATCCTAACTTCTCCTTTCTTATTTCTTCGTCCTTTCTTCACCATTCTTATTTCTTCTTCTTCCTTGTTTATTTTATAATGGCCGAGAAGATTCATCCTTCCACAACAATTACCAACATCAAAACTCATAGGCCGAGAAGATTCATCCTTCCACAACAATTACCAACATCAAAACTCATATTCCAATAATTCTAGATTATGAAAACCCTCAGTATTCTAATTGGGCTACCCTTTTCACCATTCATGCTAAAGCAACCCTTACATATGATCACATAAGTCCTTCGAGTGGTGACTCTCTTGCCACCGTCAGAACTGCTGCTGAACAAGCATAGTGGGATCGAATCGATAGTATTGTTCATCAATGGATCTACGGAACAATCTTCAATGGATCTACGGAACAATCTCTAATGACCTTCTTAACACAATTATTAATCCCCAGGATACTGCTTTGGATGCCTGGAATAGTTTGGCAGAATTATTTCAAGACAATAAAACTTCTTGGGCTATTCATCTTGAAACTGAATTTGCAAACACTAGTTTGCGCGATTTCCCAGATGCGAAGGCATATACTCGCGCGTCTTAAGGTACTTGCTGATCAGCTGGCCAATGTTGGTGCCAAGGTTTCTGATCAACGATTGGTGATGCAACTTCTGACTGGGCTAACGGATTCTTATGACAGTTTTGTCACAGTAGTCCAGAATAAGGTACCTTTTCCCACCTTTGCACAGGTTCGGTCTATGCTTTTTCTTGAAGAAACTACTAAAGCTGAGCGAGCTAAAGTCGATGCTACAACAGCATCTCCTCCTACGGCTATAATGGCAAAATCTCCTCCTGTTGAAACATTATTGAAACATTATCATCTAGTCAACAATCATAGAATCAGTCTTCTTATTCTGCCAGACCTAATAATCGAGGACGACATGGAAATAATAGGCATCGTGGCCGTGGAAATTATTTTGGAGGACGTGGCAATAATTCTGGTGGATTTTCTCATCCATGGCAATATCCGTTTCTAGGAGTATGGCAGCCTTCTTATTATGATCAGCAATTACAGTTGCACCAGTGGGCTGCACCTCCATGTCCTTATCCTTCATGGAATTATAGGCCTCCTGTCCCGACACGGTAACAAGGAATTTTTGGTCATTCACCATCAAAGCCACAGTCTTCTGCTCCATTGCAGGCTTTCTATACTGCTGCCTCTAGCAGTTATGCTCCCACAGACATTGATCAGGCTATGCATACTTTGTCGTCAAAATCGCCTGAGGAACATTGGTTCATGGACAGTGCTGCCACTTCTCTTATGACTGCAAATTCTGGTAATCTCACTTCTTATTCTAATTTGAGCCGAAATAATGGAATAATTATTGGTAATGGTAGCACTATTCCAATTCATGCCAATTCATGGTCTTGGTCATGCATTATTACCATATACTAAACCTCCTTTGCATCTCAACAATGTTTTACATACTCCACATTAATTAAAAATCTTATATATGTTCGAAAGTTTACAGTTGATAACAAAGTTTCTGTTGAATTTGATCCTTTTGGATTTACTGTGAAGGATTTTCTGACGGGGAGCCACCTTCTAAGGTGCAATAGCACAGGTGATTTATATCCATTTACTGATTCTGCATTCCATTGCGTTGGACCATCTTCTGTTCAGTCTGCGTTTTCTGGTCTTTCTTCTTCAACATGGCATTCTCGTTTAGGTCATCCTGGGAAAGATGTGCTAGTTTCTCTTAGGAACAATAATTCTATTTCTTGTAATAACGATAAGTTTCCATTTTGTAATTCTTATCTATTGGGGAAATCTATAAGACTGCCGTTTCAAATTATTGCCATTTGATATTATTCATAGTGATTTATGGTCAGCACCTATCCAAGTCAGCTGGTCATCGAAATGCATTCGATTTACCAAATTCTTGTAGACATTTCCAATATTCACATAAATTTCAAGTGCTTAGTTGTCTTTATTTCTTTCTCTGAAATATGTTCAAACACAATTTGGTTAAGACAAATTAAGCATTTTAACAATGTGATAATGGTGGCGAATATAACAATGTCAAATTTCATTGATTATTGTATACAAAATTTATTGTATACAAAATGGCATAGTTTTTCGGTTTTCTTGTCCCTATTCCTCTTCTCAAAATGGTAAAGCTGAACGTAAAATTAAAACCATCAATAACATGGTTCGAACTATTTTGCTTCATGCTTCTATACCTGCACGTTTTTGGCATCATGCCTTATCAACTGCCACCTATCTTCTTAATATACTTCCTAGCAAATTATTGAATTACAGGTCACCCACTCAAATGCTCTACCTTAAATATCCTTCATATTCTCATTTACGAATATTTGGGTGTTTATGTTTTCCTTTAATTCCGTCTACCACCATTCATAAGTTAGAGCCAAGATCTAAACCTTGTGTATTTTTAGGATATCCTTCAAATCATAAAGGGTATAAGTGTCTTGATCTGTCTTCAAATAAAATCATCATTTGTCGACATGTTAAATTTGATGAGAATCAGTATCCTTTTTCCAAATTTTTCCAAATTACCTTGCTACTAAACACTTCTTGAATATATTCTAGATGGTAGTTTAACACCGCTTACAGATACACATGCTACATTAATTCAATCTATTACTCCAAACTACCAATGATGAGCCTTTTACATTGTGTCATCACCTGCTCCCATTATACCAACTTTCACAACGAATCCCATTATACCAACTTCACAACAACATTTCCCTGCACCTTCCAATAATATGACACAACACCATGCACCTGTCAATAATTCCCAAGCTCACTTAAATCCACCTGCACCTTCTCATAATATGACAACTCGTAGTAAATCAGGAATATTTAAGCCTAACCCAAAATATCAGTCTTATGTTGCTACTTCTTCATCTATTTCTCCTATACCAACAAATCCTGTGTCAGCTCTAAAAGACCCGAATTGGAAAAGTGATATGCTTGATGAATTTGAGGCTCTCATTAAGAATAAGACTTGGGATTTAGTTACTCGTCCAGCAAATGTCAATATTATTTGATCAATGTGGGTTTTTCATCATAAAAAGAATTTTGATGGTTCATTTGAGAGGCATAAAGCCCGTCTTGTAGGTGATGGCAGGTCTCAGCAGGAAGGAATTGATTGTGAGGATACCTTCAGTCTGGTTGTTAAACCTGCGACAATCAGAATGGTTAGCCTGGCAGTTTCGAAAAATCAGAATGGTGCTTAGCCTGGCAGTTTCGAAGAATTGGTCCATTCATCAACTTGACGTCAAGAATGCATTCTTGCACGGTAATCTCAATGAGACAGTTTATATATATCAGCCTTCGGGATTTCGAGACTCCTCCCGGCCTGATCATGTATGCTTGTTAAAGAAGTCTTTATATGGCTTGAAGCAAGCCCCTCGCGCTTGGTACCAAAAGTTTACTGATTTTGCGGCAACAATTGGTTTTATTCATAGCACATGTGATCATTCTTTATTCATTTATCATAAACATGCAGAAATGGCATACATATTACTATACGTTGATGATATAGTTCTTGTAACTTCATCAGCTGCTTTAAGAAAGGACATCATTACTAAATTAAGTGCTGAGTTTGCAATGAAGGACTTAGGACCACTTAATTATTTTCTCGGCATTAAAGTTCAACGCAACAACACAGGTACGTTTTTGACGCAACAAAAATATGCTGCTGAACTGTTAGATCGTGCCGGCATGACTGAGTGTAAATCGAGTCTCACACCTGTGGATACAACAGGCAAATTAGGTGCTCAAAGTGGTGAACCGTGTTCTAATCCTAAGTTATACAGGCAACTGGCTAAAGCATTACAGTATTTAACTTTTACTAGACCTGACATTTGTTATGCAGTCCAGCAAATCTGTCTCTTTATGCATGCTCCAACTGAACAGCACATGAAGGCTTTAAAGCGGATACTGCGATGAAGGCTTTAAAGCGGATACTGCGGTACATTAAAGGAACAATTCATTATGGTTTACAGTTATATAAATCATCGGCACATTCTCTGGTGGCTTACACGGATGCCGATTGGGGTGGTTGTCCTGACACCCGCCGCTCTACTTCTGTTTACTGTATATTTCTTGGGAATAATCTTATTTCTTGGTCTTCAAAGCGGCAACGTATAATCTCAAAATCAAGCTCAGAAGATGAATACAGAGGAGTCGCTAATGTTGTTTCTGAATCTTGTTGATTGAGGAATCTTTTGCTGGAACTACATTGTCCGATATCAAAAGCTACAATGGTATATTGTGATAATGTTAGTGCGATCTATCTGTCAGAGAATCCAGTTCAGCATCAACGCACATCAACGCACTAAATCATATAGAGATGGATATTCATTTTGTTGCATGAAAAGTTCAAAGGAGAGGTTCGAGTTCATCATGTTTCCCTTTCTCGTTATCAAAATTGCAGGACATCTTTACAAAAGGTCTTTCCAGCCGCGTTTCGTTTTTGTGATTTCAGCAAACAGTCTTAAGTGTTTCGCTTCCACTGCCCCTTCGACGACGGGTGTGATAGAGATAATGACAATCTTGTCAATTTGTTATTTGTTATTTTCTGATATGTATAATTAGTAATATAGTTATAATAGGACATCCTGTATATATGTTAACAGATGGGTATCTTCATAATGTACAGATGGGTATCTTCAGAAATCATTTGGAAACTTAAATACTTTCATATTTAATGGGGGAATAAGGCCTCTAAATTGGGGGAGGAACTGACTGAATGAAAATTAATTTTAAGTATGTGGGAAGGGTTTTCCTATAATTTCACATCAAGGCCTCTACGGCTGCGATTCCAGAAAATCCAAGTGATTTGCCATAAAATTGCACCATCTCTGCCTCAAGATGGTTATCGCAGCGTCTTCATTCCGATTCCATGCAGTGCTCGGATATGTGAAGAAAGGTAATACAGTGTGTAACAGTTGTGTCAGTTTCAATGCTGTTTGTGATATGATCTTGTCTCGTCGTGTTTGTGATGATTCTTCGGTCTCGTCTCTAATCAAACGATGCTACCTGAATCTCACACTAACGAGTTAGTCATCACCATAATTATTAATTTGTATATATTGTTGCTTCCAATTTTTTTGTGTTGGCAATTTTGTAGGCAATTTTGTATTTTCTGCAAATATCCTTGCACATTCCATCTTTGCAATGAAGTTTGAATCATAAAGATAACCAATCATTCCTACAATATTGTTCATGGGAATTTGCGCATAAAATTACTGCATTATTTTTTACTCATATTAGAGATCTTTTTTAGAAGAATAGAGATATTAGAGGTGAAATTGATATGATTTATTTGTTCTCTTCAGGGAACAGCAGATGAAGTTGTTGATTGCTCTCATGGGAAACAGCTTTCGGAGCTTTGCAAGGAGAAGTATGAACCATTGTGGATAAGCGGGGGCGGACATTGCAATCTTGAGCTTTATCCAGAATTCATCAGACATCTAATTCATCAGACATCTGAAGAAGTTTGTGCTATCGCTAGGAAAATCAAAAGCAGCCACAAATGGCTCTAAAAAGACAACTGTGTCAGAAAATCAGAACAAACCATCTGAGAGCGGAAGTTCAGATACTTTCGAATTGGGTGCTGACCTTCCTGAAATCTCTAGAAATAGTTTAGATAGTAGGCTTGAGAAGTCTAAGAAGCCAGATAAACCTGAAAAATCCCGGATGAGCACCGACCGTGTTGATAGATTTAGGAGAAGAAAAGGCTTGGTCTGGTGATTGCTTACACGAAGAGCTCCAATAAAATATGTGCATGGATCCACTTGAGAAGGTAGTGTATTTTTCACTCTTGCTTTTGTAACGAGCAACAAGTTTCATATTAAATCATTGCTTCTGAGTGTAATTTCTACATAAATGTCATATCTGTATGGTATCTTAGAAGAAGGAGGTCAAATTAAAGCTAATCTTGCATTTGAAGTTTTTAACTCCTCTCTAAAAACAGTGCTCTGCTCATTTCAAAATTTTAGCTAATTGTTAATAATGTTTTGTGCTTAATTTTTAGAAAGTAGTCATTCATGTTCTTTTGTCATAAATGTGTTCTTTTCCGGTTTTCATAGGCTTGATGTTTGGAATTGGAAATTGGCTGAGCCCAAATTGAAAAATTGAAAAATCGGAATTGAAATCAGTTCAATTTGATTCAGTATTTTACAAAATCCTACTGAGCTTGATTTGGTTAAATTGATTCTATTTTATTTTTTGTGGAGAACTAAATTTTTTTGTCAGGTTTTGCGTTGTTATTTAAATAAAAATTAACCTCAATTATGCTTTAAATAGTTCAAAATCAAATTAAACCGATTGAATGGTTTAGTTTGAATTTTTATGCACCTATTTAGTTTTTGTTCAATTTGAATTTAAAAAATATCAGCCTACTTGAGTCTGCCTTACTTCAGCTTGGCTTTGAACCAGACCGATGAATGGATCGCCCCTATCTGGAAAGTATCGAAGTGATTGCAAATCAAGGCGTTTCAATTATATAAGCCATCTGAAAAGATTCAAAAGACCTTTCTTTTTGGATTTGTAAATTAAAGTTTAAAAATAACAAGATTTAGTTGCAAAGATTAGTTGCAAATTCCTATATTTAGGACAAATCAAATTTCTACTTGGATTTTCATTTTTTGTAATTCTAATATCACAATTTGGCCTATTAATACCAATATTATAATTTTGAAATAAAGTACCCAAGCATAATTCACAAAAATCACTTTTCCTATGAGATTGCTAATTGGTTTTACATATATACCGTACATAATACATGTGTGTATATACACTTTGTATTTACCGTTGATGCTATTGCTAGTCGTCGTCGTTGTTGTCGCCGGTCGCGATCGTCATAGTTGAATTATATAAGCTATATACGGATAGTTTGGAGATTACTGATTTATTTTTTATCAATATTGACATTTCTTAATTTTTATATTTTTTTTTTTTGAGTTTTTGTTAATTTAGAAATCTAATTTTTAACAAATTTGTTAAGTTGTCCCTTGAAATTAAGATTTGAAAAGGCCTATCTAATTAAGAAAATTTTAATATTTGAGTTAATTAAAATTTGGGTGGAAAGGGGGTTAAAGGTATGGTCCCCATTTTCTTAACTTTGTAACTTTTGTTGCGTTTTTCTAAATTATAAAAAAAATTAAGGAAGTACTTTTTTTTTTTTTTTTTTTTTTGAAAGAGAAGGGGAAGTACTTTTAAATTTCTGATACCATATTCTGTGTGTTGGTTTACTTTGACTGTGTGGTTGGTTTACTTTGACTCTTCAAAATAGACCATATATAGGGTACTGAACTATAGATGTATCTTCCTTGTTTTGATTTATATAGCTGACTTATTCTTTGTTAGGAAATTTGAGTTTATTCCAATTTTTTTCATATTACCAAAGCTGGCATCGACCACCATTACTCAACCATTCCAATAGAACCTTTTCTTTACAAATTATCACAAATCCTTAAAAACTCTCCGTCTCTTCGTCTCTCACTCTCTGAAATGCAATTATACTTTGGATATTCAGAATATAACCTTGTACTATACTTTCAAGTGCAATCGCTATACCTGAAGGGTTTTCAAGTCAGTTTACTTGTACCTTAAACAACAGCGATAGCAATGGTTTTTATGTGACAAGAAGGCTAAGTTAATTTGGCAATTCAATAAGGAGCTTCTTGGAAACTTGCAAAAATAGCGTTACCGTTCCGGCAATAGAGTCAGCTGTTCCGCCAGTAGAGATTAGTCCTGCAGAGGACAATTTGATTACAGCTTTAGAGCAGGGTTTTGGATTGGAATGGACGGCAGATGATAATACCTGTGAGACGTGTAAATTAACTCATGGACAGTCTGGTTATAACTATACTACTAGTTTTTCGTCTGTCCCAAAATAGTCTTATTTTATTTTTTAAAAATTATTTATTATCTAATTTCTGTACGTTCACTTTCTCAATTGATATATTTCGCTTAATATTATAAATGGATATTAATTTATCTGATTACCACATTTGTTAGTTCCTAAAAATTCGGATGATAATAATAATAATAATATTCCATTTGTCATATATATATATATATATATATATATAATAATATTTCCATTTGTCATATATATATATTAGTATAATATATATATATATATATATAAAAGTTCATTTTTCTTTTTCGTCTGTCACAATATATAGTTTTATTTTCTTTTTTAAAAAATCATTTATTATTTAATTTCTATACATCCATGTTTTCAATTGATATACTTCAAAATTAAACAAAAAAATAAGTCAACTAATCTATGTTACAAAAGTCTAGCACATCTTTTTTTTTTTCCATCACATTGTGTGGTTGCATTTCATAGCATGTAGCTCGTTTCTGTATCCTCTGCATCAAATCCTCCTTTTAACTGTTCCATTTTCAGGTTTTACAATTCTCCATCTCCACTTAAATGAGTTCTTCAAAATTTTCACTCTTTTTGTTTTTCTTCTCTATTGCAATTCCTTGTTGTTTAGGCAACCCAGACTTGTCTTGTACACTTCCTGTGCTACTAAATTCGTCTGTGGAAATATTTCCGCCGGCTATCCTTTCTGGGGAAGTGATCGGCAGTATGGTTGCGGCGTTCCTGAATTGGAGCTCAAGTGCGAAAAAAATATAACAAAAATAGAAATCAACGGTGTAAAATACCGTGTTCTGGACATCAACAACGACGATCAGATTCTGAAAATTGCAAGAGAAGATTTCAACGGTGTAAAATACCGTGTTCTGGACATCAACAACGACCATCAGATTCTGAAAATTGCAAGAGAAGATTATATCTATGATTTCTGTAAACCTGACTTCCTTAACACCACACTTGACTCTAAGTTTTTCGATTACTCTCCAGGTTATCGGAATCTCACATTTATATACGGTTGCCCTGTTGGAATCCCAGCACTATTCAATTGCTTCATCGCAGGGTCTCTGCCTCAAAATGGTTATGTCTTATTGAACGCTGTTGGCCCTGGGTCATGTTATCGCAGCGTTTTCGTGCCGGTTTATGAATTGAGTTTGGAAACAATGCTTTTCAATTTGACAGGTCTGAAAGAAAGCTTGAAACAAGGATTTGAAGTGAAATTGAAAGTAGATAATACAGTTTGTAATGATTGTCTCAGTTCGAAAGGAGCTTGTGGATATGATTTCTTCTCTAATGAAACGACTTGCTATTGTCTCCTCGGCCAAATTACAGGATCAAAAACTTGTGCTACTTGGTCACCAGATGCTGTTCCTGAAAGTAGACCGGGTATGTATCCATCTCCATCTATTTGATGCAAGTTAACACCTAACCATTTGATTCTTTCCAGTTTTTTCTTTGTTTATTACTTTTCTCATGAATTAGTCAAAAGAAAGTTCACCATATATATTTTCATAACTATAGACTGCGGAACTAGACGAATTAACAATGGATACGTAGGCTTTTTAGTTTATAGACAGTGGTAGTCACAATTTTACTAGTGAACAATTAATTATTGTTGTTATACGATATTTTTCAAAGGTGCTGCCATCATAACAACTGGATAATAAGAAGATTTGGTAGCATGTCAGCCACGTCGTTGTCAACCGAGAAATGCTGTGCTTCTAGTTTGATATTTTTGGCAAAGCCTGTAACCTTAGCATTTTCCTTGTTGCTGACAAGTGACAAGGTAAAATTTATCTCTTGCCAATAATCTTGAACCAACTATTTTCGCAGCTAATGTCAAATGGAACAGTTAAAATTTTTACAATTAAAAAGGGCTCAATAGCTCTTTTATAACAATAAACTTCCGATTCACCAATTGCTCCGCCAACAAATTGAACAAGTTTGCAGTTCAGAAATAGATGATCACTGTGAATCTTTCTAGTGGTTGCAGTCGTCATATGGTCTTCAAAAGTCAACTAAGGTCAATTCCTTCAGTTGCAGTCCTGCAAATTCTTTTCTTTAGATTCATTTTATGATGATTTAATTAGCCAACTTCTGCTTCGGCAGTACCTCACGATCAGAGTTGTTTAGCAGCAATTAGGTGTGAAAACCCTTCATTCTGTGATCATCATTCTTCACATGCTAGTTTAATAAGCACCCGCACCCCCACTTGTTATCTTATGCGATTTGAGCTCCATACCCTTATGGGTATCATTCTCTCTGGTTTAAACAATAATAATGGTAGTTGACTATTTGCTTAGTGAAGTTTTTTGCAACAACAAATGGCGTTGCTTTCACCACTAGTAAGTTATGCAGATTAGTTTGTGCCAGTTAGTACTGTGCAGTGTGCAGAATACAACAGGAATCCTGCAGATTATGTTAGCCACTGCAAGTACTGAATTAAAGCAGGAATACAGCTTAAAGAAAATGAAATACTGATGAAGCTTATTTATTGGACCCACATAAAATCAGGGACAAGCATACTAGTCAATATTTTTACAGTCTCTGATTCATATTTGGTGTATAATATTTATGGTTATTTTGAACTTTTGCACTTGGAACTTATTCCTAGAAGATCATTCCAGTGCAATATCATTAATTTGTCTGATTACAACGTTTGTTAGTTCCTAAAGATTCGGATATTAGTATTTACAATTTGCAATCAATTCCATTGACTGAGTTTGGAGTGACTCATAATTTTACTGTTTCCAGCATCTTTTAAGGACAAGTAGAACTTCCAAAACAGGCTTGTCCTTCTTCCATTTGATTTTCAATTTTCCATCATTTCTCTCCTTATCTACTTTGTGTACCCCGTTTTTCCTTATCCTCTAGCTAGATTAAAAAATATGTATACTAGTCGTTTTACACCTACATTTCTTTCTCTTTTGCTCATATTTCTTTCTTCAAGAGACATTCATATATCTTTTGCAGATTTACTTGCTTTTGCAATGATCAACCAACTGCAAATCTATGTTCTTCCAGGCCAGGTATGTGCCTCCTTTTATAGCTAATAGGCATATCTTTTATGCCCTGGAGTTAGATGGTGAGATTAATTTTAGGTACAGGCAATGACAATTACAGGGTACCTTCCCTCCAGGCAGTGATTAATTATTTAACTAGTAATTTTCACAATAGTCACTTTCACACACTAGTTATGGTCAAATGTTCGGCAATGTTACAAGCTATTACACACAATTTTATTTTGGTTCTGATGTATAAGGATAAATTTTCTATTACAAAATACCTTCAGAACTTGAACTTTGGAACTTAAGAAACTATTAGTTAAATAAATTAAACTGTAACTTTCACTTTTGTAGTGCTTAATTAAGATGTTTAGGATTACAATTTATTGTGCAGAGTATTTAAGGCTCTGGGCATTTATAAATGGAGATTGTCTTAAATTTTGAAGAGGTTGCCCATTTTCTGTCTCCATGTAGCTTTCAAAGTTGGATAGTCTCCATTTCCAGTCTGAACACATGGACAATATGATGAATTCACTAATTATAAGAATATTGACATTTGCAATTATTTGTTTGGCTGTCTAAGCTTATGTTGATTAATTTTAGTATTCTGTTAAAATCATCTTAGTCTGCGTTCCTTGCTTGTTCTCCTATTCTAGACCTCTCATCATCATCATCCAGTATGGAAATTCCTTTCCAAACTCTCCTTTTCTATGAAGGAGACTACCTTACATTACGCGCTAATAATCTGGTTTGTGAATTTGCAAAGCAGTTCCTAGAAGTAATAAAGTCCCCATAAAACTCAAGAAATTTCAGCATCCATTATCTTATGTAAATCAGCCTTTTTCCTGTCAAATCTTGAATTTAGGTCCTATACAAGGAGGAAACTCAGGAGGAAACATGGTAGATGTAGATGTGCACAGGTTTTTGTTAGCTTAGACTTTGTAAAAATAGATATTACAAACTAAAATATTATAAACACGGGTCCTCATTTTCTTGACTTTGTTGGTTTCTAGATTATAAAAATATTAAGCACGAGTGTTTCAAAATTATTTTAAATTTCTGATTTTAGCAGATTTTGTGTGTGGGTGGTTTATTTTGACTCTTCAGAAAGGACCATATATTTAACTGTACATGTATGTTCAGCGTTTTGATTTTTATACTAACTTATTCTATAGGTTTCCTGCTACAAATGCTTAGAAAATAAGTTGCTGAGTCACTTTATTCCTATTATTTTCCATCATTGACCACCTCCAACTATTCCAATAGAACCTTCTTTGACAAAAATCACATACACTTGAAACTCATCCAAATGCAGCCGAACCCATTAATTTTTTTTCATTTTGTCAAAAGCCAAAACACGTTTCCATTTCCTTACGTTATATCTAAGCACTATGAAGAATTTTCTGCATGTCTTTATCTCTCTCCCTCTCTCTGAAAATGCAATCCCATTCCTTCACAACCCTGTCTTTGGCTTTAATCATTACTATAATCTTTCTCTACCCTTCAATATGTGTATCAATTGATGAGCGATACCAGAACTGCAGCGGAACATTTGATTGTGGAAACATTACAGGTATTAGCTATCCTTTCTGGGGATCAGCTCGACCTAATTACTGTGGCCAACCTAATTACTGTGGCCAACCGGACTTCTTGGCTTAATTGCAGCAGAAGAAACCCGCATCCCGTGATCACAATCCACGAATTCTAATCTTACCAACTCCTTGACTCCTTGACATCTATAGCGAGTCACAGACTCTTAAGGTTGCTAGAACAGACTACATAGGAGGAATCTGTCCTAATCTCCTTCACAACACCACTTTGAATTCAGCTTCTTTCAATTATTCTTCGGGTATTCGGAATATAACTCTGTACTATGATTGTCCTGCTCTTTCGGCTGCAAATTGCTATACCTGAAGGGTTTTCAAGTCAGTTTACTTGTACCTTAAACCACAGCAATAGCAATGGTTTTTATGCGACAAGAAGGCTAAGTGATTATGACAATGCATTAATCAGCGTCTTGGTATCTTGCAAAAATAGCGTTACTGTTCCGGCAACAGAATCAGCTGTTCTGCCTATAGAGATTAGTCCTCCAAAGGAAAATTTGATTGCAGCTTAGAGCAGGGTTTTGGACTTCAATGGACTGCAAATGATTCTACTTGTGCCACGTGTAAATTGTCTGATTAGTCCTACAAAGGAAAATTTGATTGCAGCTTAGAGCAGGGTTTTGGACTTCAATGGACTGCAAATGATTCTACTTGTGCCACGTGTAAATTGTCTGGTGGGCTATGTGGTTACAACTATGCTACTAGTTCATTTGCTCGTTATTGATCTGATCAGGCTTAACCGTTTAGTTGTGGAACAACAAATCAACCGGAATCAGGTGTATCTTTTTTCCTTTCTCCTGCTTTGCCTTGCTTAATAACGACTCTGCTTCTTCGTCTCCTCCAAGATCGGTGGTTTTCAATGGAAGAGAGAGAAGAGCTGTAGAGACCCCAAAAGAGAAAGAAAGAAAAGAGAAAAAGACATGATAGATTAGGGTAATAAATAGGGGTTAAATGGTAATTCACTATTCTTGCCACGTTGGACATCCTATGCGAAATAAATGTGAGGCTATGTAAAGGGACGCATAGTCCCGTTACATCAAGCCTGTAAAGGTATCGCAAAGACATATGCATGTTTCACTGAGTCCCGTTAAATATTCTGATTATCCATCTCATCTAATTCAAGGGATGTACAGGCATACGTAGGTTCCACTTATTCCCCTTAAAAATTCCGTTTATCCATCTCATCTAATTCTGTTTCGGTTCCGCATTTTTTAGAACTGGAATCCAAGGTTTTTGTGCCACCCGTAACTGCAGCCACCGCCACCACCACTACTAACAAAAGAGCACCATCATCACAACCAACCACCGTCGCAAATAAACACCACGCCATCATCACATAAGCCCAACGCCTCAAGACCAAGCTCGGATTTATATCATGTCTTCATTGACTTTAACACCTTTGGTTTCTTGTGTTCACACCAAAGAAAATGTCCCATCAAATGGAAGATCGCCGCTCTCAGTTGAAATGGTTTCTGCTCCTTCCATCACTCCTATGACGTCGCTTGATTTCGAGATTCCGTTTTCAAGAAAGAGAAAATAACTCTTGCTGCACGACGAGGTATGTGGCAAACTGCAAACCTCAAGTTCCAAGCAGACCTGATTAAGACTCCGTTTTTAAATGAGTTTTTTAATTTATTTATTTATTGAATTTATATAGTTGCATAAATGGAGATTTGAGGTGAAGAGGAGAAGTAAAAGCATAGTGACTTTAATTTTTGTCTTATCAAAAGGGCATTTTAGTTTTTGACTGGATATTTATCAGGAAAACATTAAAATTAAATGGAAGGACCACGTGAAAGGAATCAAGCCTGGGAAATCGATAGAACCAAGGGACAATAATTATTTTCGTGTGACACTAGTCCGTCCTAGACTTTATTTCATTATGGTCATTCATCGCCTAATATTTCTGACACAACTGATTACTGCAGGAGACAAATCAAATATAGCAGTGAAACTTGGAATAGGTACGATTAAGTTCTGCTACGAACATACACGTTTAAGTTGAAATAAAATTAGTTACACAGTAGAAAATCTGAGGAATCTTTTTTCCATTTCAGGACTTGGCACAGTAGTGGCAGTTGCAGCTATTTTCAGTATTTGTTATTGCATCACTAGAAGAGGATTTTGGACTATTTTCAGAATTTGTTATTGCATCACTAGAAGAGGATTTTGCAGCTATTTTTCAGTTTTATTTGTTATTTGCATTCTAACTTGAAAGAGGATGGTTTGGCTATTTTCAGAATTTGTTATTGCATCACTAGAAGAGGATTTTGAGCGAAACGAAGAACGAAGAACACAAAACAAGAAAAAGACATAGAAGCATTCATCATGAACTATCACTCTCTCATGCCACAACGGTATTCATATTCAGACATTAAGAAAATTACCAACTCATTTGCTGATAAACTAGGTCAAGGTGGATTTGGAAGTGTGTATAGAGGAAAATTAAAGGATGGTCGTTGTGTGGCAGTAAAAGTTTTAAATAAATCTATAGGCGAGGGAGAAGAATTTATTAATGAAGTTGCGAGTATTAGTAGAACTTCACATGTCAATATTGTTACTCTATTAGGATTTTGTTATGAGAGGACTAAAAGAGCTTTGATATATGAATACATGCCTAATGGATCTCTAGATAAATTCATATACGATTTAGGCAATCAGCTAGAAAGGAAAATGTTATATGACATTGCAATTGGCATTGCTAGAGGTTTAGAATACTTGCATCAAGCAATTCAAACGTTGTAAATAGCTAGGATTGTGCATTTTGATATAAAACCTCAAAATGTCCTTCTAGATGATGATTTCTGTCCAAATCTCTGATTTTGGTCTTGCTTGGTCTTGCAAAACTATGCAAGAGAAAAGAAAGTATAGTGTCAATGTTGAGTGCGCGAGGGACAGTAGGGTACATTGCTCCAGAAGTGTTTATGAGAAGCTTAGGAGGGGCTTCTTACAAGTCTGACGTGTATAGCTACGGAATGATGATCCTTGAAATGTTTGGAAGAAGAAATACTAGTGATATTAAAGCATCAGAGGGCAGCGAAATGTATTTTCCAGATGAGCTTTACAAGTTTCTTGAACCAGGAGAGAATTCTAGTATGAATGAGAATGTGATAGAAGGAGATCAAGGAGAGATGGTGAGAAGGATGATAATAATAGGGTTATGGTGTATTCAAACAAATCCATCAGATAGACCAATCAATGACCAAGGTAATAGAGATGTTGGAAGGTAGTTTGCAATCTTTGCAAATTCCACCAAAACCTCTATTCCCTGCAACTACAGCAACTGTAGAGGTAGAGTACTCATCTACATTGTCATCAGCAGCGGACATGATCCCAGAAGCATGAAGAAAACATTTTGTCGTAAACAGAAATGGACATTGTAGGCATTGCAAATTTCAGAGTGTAATTGTTGAAGTAGCAGAGTTTGTGAAAAACCAACCAAACCAATTAAGGGTTTTCTCGTTGCACTTTGATCTATTTCGTGTTTTGTTCATACGGTCTGATCATGTAATAGTATATGGGCTATTTATGCTACACAAAATTTTAATCTTCATGTAATAGTATATGGGCTATTTATGCTACACAAAATTTTAATCTCACCAGAAAACAAAAGCATATAGCCATATACCCACTTTTCAGCTTCATTTCAACAATGTTGAATTCAAACTATGAGTTAAATCAAGGAGTAAGAAATAGAAATACCCACTTTAACATCCTTTAATTAATTTAACTCAGGGATTGGTTTAAGAGGCATTGTGAAGGGCAGAATAACTAGAATTACGTTTCATTGGTTAAATAATTTACATTTAAAAAAAACAATTAATTGCAAATTTCTGAATTTAGTAGAAATCAAAATTCTATTCGGATTTATATTCTTTTAATACTCCGATTATCATTTCGCCTATCAATCGGATTTCCTAACGACTTTAGGAATAAAAAATTGCCAGTATAAATAAATAAACTGCCCGAGCATAAATCGCAAAAATCACTTCAATTCGTTTCTAAGAATTAATCAACATGGAATCAAAGCAAACCATTACCTTGAAGACCTTCGACAATAAGCTTTTCGAGATAGAAGAAGCCGTGGCTATGGAGATGATTACTGTGAAAAGTTTTTTCGATGAGTTTGCTGATAATTCTTCTTCCTCGTCTATGCTGATAATTCTTCTTCCTCGTCTAAAGCTACCATAATTCCTCTCCCTAACGTGTCATCCGCGTCGCTTTCTTTGATAATAACTTACATCGAGGATTACTTGAAGTTGAAATCTAATCCAACCGATCTCAAAGCTTATAATGCAGAATTTGTGAAGAAACAAGCTGTAGACATAAAAGAATTGATTTTGGCGGTTAATTATCTAAACATCAAGTATTTGTTGGATTTGCTTAGTCAGGCCATTGCTGATCATATTAATAACAAGAGCGTCGAATATGTTCGTGGCTATTTTGGGTTTGAGAATGATTTTACGCCACAAGAGGAAGCTAGACTTCGCGAGGAGAACGCTTGGGCTTACGAGGGTGTTGATCAAGATTAATTAATTTTATTTTTTTTTATTGGTTTGTTCAATTTGTTGCGTTTTGTTCAATTTTGTTGGCTTGGATCTTTCCATAGCTTGTTTAGTTAGGTAGGTTGAGGAGAACGCTTGGGCTTACGAGGGTGTTGATCAAGATTAATTAATTTTATTTTTTTTTATTGGTTTGTTCAATTTGTTGCTTGGATCTTTCCATAGCTTGTTTAGTTAGGTAGGTTGTTTTATGTCATTTTCTTATTCTAAATAGTTATTAGAATTAGTAACGATCCGGGTGGAATAGAATGACTCGGTTGAAGCATAATGATCGTACAACTCATAATATGTCTCATTCCTCGTCCTTTTGTCGGTAGCGTGTCATTTTATGAATTTTATTGCATGATTGTTCATTCCGTTAAAATATTTTGAGAAGCATATTGTCTGAACGAAGAAATTGAAGGTTAGGGTTTGGATTCGATTTAGTTTTTTTTTTTTTTTTATGATATTTGGCCTTGAAGTTTGTTTTTCGAGTTGTTTGAGCTTCAAATTGGAATACTTGTTTAAATATTTAATGGGGGAATAAGGCCTCTAAATTGGGGGAGGAACTGAGCTGAATGAAAATTAATTTTAAGTATGTGGGAAGGGTTTTCCTATCATTTCACATCAAGGCCTCTAAAGCTGCGATTCCAGAAAATCCAAGTGATTTGTAATAAAATTGCACCATCTGTGCCTCAAGATGGTTATCGCAGCGTCTTCATTCCTATTCCATGCAGTGCTCAGATATGTGAAGAAAGGTAATACAGTGTGTAACGGTTGTGTCAGTTTCAATGCTGTTTGTGAATATGATTGTGTCAAATGCTGTTTGTGATATGATCTCGTCTCGTCGTGTTTGTGGATATGATCTTGTCTCGTCTCTAACCAAACGATTTGCTACCAGAAGTTCACACTAACTATAGTTTCTTTCCATTTTATTTACTTTACAGAAAGAAAGTTGACCATATATATAACCCATTCATGAACAATGTATGTCTCTCTTGCACTCAACAATGAAACTATACTTTCCCTTCCCTTGCATATAATTTGTAAGCCCAAAATTTCAGATTTTAGGACAAATTTTTATCTAGAATGATAATTCATAATGAATGCCTACATCTTTTCATCCTGTTTAGCTTTCTTGGACTACAATATCATCGTCTTCCCACACCAAAATCCTAGTTAACAATCCTAAGCAGATACTGATAATAGCTGCAGCTGCTGCTATAGCAAGTTCTATAATTAGACAAAATGTTGCTCAGATTTTCTTTAGTATCACTATAATTTTGCTCAGATTTATATTCTAAGATGTTAACAATTATGATTCCAAAAGCATTAGTTGATACGGACAAATAAAAACTGTGGGGATGTTAAAAGAAATATAGAACTTCCATTTTAGAAAAGGATTATTAGGGAAAATAATGTAATATTATCAAATCAAAGCCTTTTCTTTTAATTTCTATTTATTTATTTATTCTTTTGATAAACAATCAGAACTTTTCTAAATAAATGTTAACATAGTAAAGTAGAAGAACATAGTGCCATAACTTGAAGAGCTTGGGATTAGTACCATATCTTCTCAAGACACACTTTAGGCTGTTAGGCAGCATCACTGGGTAGCTAATAGATAAATCTTTGCAATAGACCATTGAGTTGATTGTGAACTTGCATAGATACTATTGACCACCCTGGCTTCCTATCCTGTTTTAGCTACGGCTATTGGCCACAAGAACACGCCAAATCTTACCAAAAGAGTGGTTTCCTCAGCAGACCTGCCAAACATGGTCAAAAAACTGGACACAGATTAGTCTGTCAGGATTGTGCCAAAGTAATAAGCAACTTGACAAGGAACATAAAATCTACTTGATAATTGACAATTGGCGATGAAAGTGGGAAAAACATATGCTTCACCAAAAGGAAAACCCACCAACAGAGGATAAGATTGAGAATACAATAATATTTTATAAAGTTCAATTAGTGAATGAACTAGTTTATTTCCTAAGAGTCCCATAAATAAGTTCAGAACAAGTCTTTGACTAATTGATACTGTACCCAGATCTCCAGGACACAGGATTCTGCCATAGCATTTCCAATGATTACATGCAAATCAACCTAATATTTCCTGTAAAAGGCTAGAAAGAGATTTAAGATTCAAATGGTGAAGCAAATACACAAGTTACCTCAAGCTTCAAGTAAGGCTATTTCCCAATTCTTTCTTGCATATGTTTACTCTTTCAACATTTATGGTGCATGCATTTCATAGTTCTCATATGCTCAAGGATACAAATGCGACAACAAACTCAAATTTGTCAACTTACAAAATTTTCAAGAAGATAAGGAAAGATTCTGTTGCAAAGTGATATTGTGACCAAGATATTGGAAACTCCTCCTTGTGGCAACACATTTGCTATTCTTAATTGAGTCCAGAATGCAAGAGGAAACAATATTACAATACATGATATGAGACATATGCTAGCTCATGATCTGCGAGTTTTTCATATCCTTTCCCTCAGATTCCTGAAGCTTTGCCTGCAAAATTCATCTCCTAAACATTCAATGCTCGAAAACTCTTAATGTTAAAAGAGAAAAATCAAAACTAGTTGCTTTTGTTGGACTTTTCTTTTTCATTTTTCTTGCTTTAATGAAGGTTAGAGAAACTCACGCAATAGAACTGTTTTGATTTTATTTTTTTCTAAAACAAAGATAATTTATCAGAAGAAATCAAACATACCAGTTTGAATTTCAACTCTCTGATTGCGCATTGTCTCTGATGTGCAAAAAACTTCAAAGACTGAAAGTTTCATCCCCCAACACCAAAAAGACAAATAAATAAACATGTAGATAAAGCAAAAGTGGAAAAGAAAAAGTAGGCTTCACGCAGATTTGGTAAAACTATGGTACAAATTGACCTGACAGAACAAGCTAATTGACAGACTAGGGAGAAAAGTAAGAGTTTTGCTTACTCCAATTCTCTGCATTTCAAGAGATCTACGCAATGCCTCTATTTTGGTTGGAAGATTATTGAGAAGCTTTGGAGGACGCTTATAATTTTTTCCACGGTAAATTATTATAGCGTGGCCTTCTTTAAGCTTGTCCACTGATACTAATATCCCCCCACTTTCTGCTTCAAGAAATTTTGCAGTGCGAATTACCTGCGAAAAAATTCTCTGCATTGTGATCACCTTGACCACTTCTCTATGCTTCCAATGCTGATGCAGACCTTCCATAACACCATCAAAGACCCCACGCCTACCTACAGCCAACAACAAACCAAAAAGCTTTGACAATGTACACAAGTAGAGAGAGGGACAGCTGAACATCTATAGACAATGCCATATATCATGGCTTTACATAGCGCATGCCAAGTCTGGGCAGAATTGACACTTTACTCGGTCAATGATGAAATTAAAGTTCTGTTTTTGGTTAATCAATGAAGATCATGCACCAAATATGAGGATTGAATGCACCAATCATGTATAAAAAGAAAACATATACGAGAACAAGGGCATGCCATGAACCAAGGATCATGGAGATGAGGATGTTATAAAATTATGAAAAAGAGCACCGTTCCTCTTTCTCCCTTATACTTTTGGTATGAGAAACATCATGGATAAACATAATTATACCTTTAAATGGAAAAGAAAAACACAACAATGCAATTACAGCCATGCTTGTTCTACTATATACCCAGTCAAACTTTAGTACTCTAACAGTCTCACTGAATATCCTTTTTTTTCTTTTGAGCATCTCAAAGCATGTAGTTCATTGACATAAAAAAAAATATAATAAAAGCCCTAGATTCCTATCCTCCTAAATTGATCCTTACCATATATCTTTAAATCTTGTGATAAAACTTTCAGGAAACTCTATCTATAATATTGATGTTGATACATCAAGTGTGTTTCCTTAATACTGAGCTTAGAGGTATGTACGAGTTACGACAAATGGATTGCAAAGTAAAAGCCAAACGAGAAACCCATACAGCTCATCTACTATACACATCAAGTAAAAGAAACAAAAAAAAAGAAAATGATAAGAAACTAAGAATAAATCATTTAATGTTTAGATAACTAAAGAAGAGATCTACCACAAAGGAAGAGAAAATAAATAATGCAGAAGAAAGCTGTCTGGAATTATAAAACAAAACAAAGAAAAAATTTTGATTGAAAATTGGAGTAAGCTCTCCTTACCAAGCACTAAGCTACTATGCATCTTCAGTCCTATCTTTCGAAAGCATTCTCTTTCTTCTTCCGTCATCATTTCCAGGTCAACATCTTGATCAGCCGCTGCCGAAGCAGATCTCAACTTCGATAACTCCCTAGCTGACTTCTCTATCTTTCTTTGAAGCTACAAATTCCATGGCGAATATTTTCACAAACAGCAGTGTCATGAAGAAATGAGATGATGGAAGGAATCTTACAATATAAAGCTTGTGCTCTTGATTTCTCAGTTCCTTCTCTAATTTTTCCTTTTTAGCTTCTAATTTGATTTTAGATTCCATGTATTCTTTTGCAAGCTCCCCAAATTTGGCTTGTATATCCTGGAATTCATTCAAGGTTCCAATTTTGCTTGTGTTTACCGATAGTTCATCAGCTGAGTAAAAACTTTCAATCGCTTTCAATCGTGCACCTTCTTCATTCAGGTGGCACCTTTTAAGCTCAATTTCTCTGTCTGCTATCAGATTTGCAACTTGGCAAGGAAGGAAGTCTTTACCTCTATAAAGTATTATAAAGAACTTATTGCGAAGTAACAGAACTCCTCCAGTGAGAATCTGTATTTGTGAGATCAAAGTTAAATACTGATCTAAAAAGCAAATTAAAGAAGAGGAGCTTGATCCTTGAGACAAAGAAATTTTGAATCAAAGGCTTAGTACTGGTGTGGGTAGATTACCACACCAGTACATGGGTTCATAGGAGCTACATATGGCAGAAAATGTGATGCTTAAGCAAGGATGATTTTTCACACGAATATGATAAAAGGAAAACCACGTTGTTTGAAATTATAGGTAACTTAAGTGTACTCAATATCTTCCAATGACAATATGCATGGGAAGCTTGCCTACATCTACAGAATAGATGTAGGAATATATGCTTGTTCACATGTAAGAATAATTCGAACAATCATGGACCCATGGTATTCAAAGGCTAATAGGTAACTTTACTTTGAACTTGCCTTTAGTTCATTTGCCATTTGCTCATTGTTAGCATTTTGAATGCCCCACTTCACAGCAATCTTTGCTATGAGACTCTTTTCCCACAGTTTTAAGATAGCAGCAGCCAACCCTTGAAGTCCTCTGTTCCTCCCTTAATAAAATAAGAAGAGAAAAATTAAACAGCCTTGAATATTAGAATAAAAAATTCCCACTGGAGGAGAGTAAAGCTTTGATCACATTTACAAAGAATGGGTGACATTCTTATAAAAGCATTTCCAATATCAGTAAGCATATTATTCTCATGATGTCAAAGAGTATTTCCTACTTGCTTCACCTATTTGATTGCATCATATAGGCAAGTAAGCATGCATTTGTTTCTAGTGAAACACTAACAAAATTACAGCTGCCAAGAAGATACCAAGGACAAAATGAGTAGGTAGAGCATGAGCAAGCTTCCTCAAGTACGTCAGTTCATCATCTTTCAGCTTTGCTCTACCATAGGAAGGACAAAGCCTTGATGGAGGCTTAAACCCAGGAACCACTGCTGGAAGCAAATCTGCATCTACTGGCAATGGCTTTCGCATCCACCAGTCAACAAAACGGGGTCCCAAGCCATCCAATAATCTATCAGTTTCCCTCTCAAACAAAGAACCATTTATTGGTGACAAATTAGCATCTTCTTCCATAAAGATGCTGGTTGATATAGAATCCTCTTCTTCACCCTTGCTGCAGATCTTTGAATCCATGCAACTTATGTAGGAAGTTTTAGTCAAATGATGATTATGTCCTCTGTAGATAGCAAGGAAATCTTTCTTACTCCAAACAACCAAGCCGCCAGTCTTCATCTGATTATGAAGAGAGTGGGAAAAAAAAAAAAGTCAATCGGTGAAAAGAAATGAGAAAGAATAAAATAATACCACATCAGCTACCAGCCATGACAAAGAGTGGAAACCTACTACAAGTTATATTTTACAATATTTGAGCAATGTAAATGTTGAAAATCCTTACAAGCAAGATTAAGTAGCCTCATTTTTCGGGTTACTAAGTACCTGCAGGAGCGTATTAAAAGGAACTTGCTGTTCATTCATGATATATGGCACTACAGTCATATTTCAAAATTCAGTCATTCATAACATTCTTTCTGATATGAACTTTAAGAGGGTTGATTAGTTATTTTGTGAAAGATGTGCTACAAAGACGTGCTGCACAATTAAGAAGTGAAAGGATAACAAATTTACAGTTTAAAATTTAATTCTTATACCAAGAAATGCAGGACGCATTTCAAATAGCATTTGTTCTCAGTGTGTGCAGACATCACAATACTGAATAAAAAGCCAGTGTTTTCACTTTCCACAGGGCATAAAAAGCATACAAGTACTAATTAATCAACAATACAAGATCCACATTAAGTCCAACCATTGTCCAAATTAAATCCAAGTTCAAAATTTTATTCTAATTTGTATATCATTTTCTCTCAGAGATGTTCTCTCATATCTCAGAATTATCTCCTAAGTGATAATACACTTTACAAAGAAACCGAACCAAACAGTAGCAACAGAAGGAAATCAAACCTCAATAATTTCCCTTGCTCTATCCATGTTTCGACACAAAGGGAGGTCAAATTTAACCATGGCAAGCTCATTTCTCTTCCAAGAATTTCTTATCTCATTAACCACCCTTTCTGTCACTCCTGCTTTCTTCACTTTCACCCAATTCCTCATCCTTGCAGCTTCACATCTCAATCTCTCGAGCAATTCCTTATCAAGACTCAACTCAGCCTTAGTAACCACTTTCTCCTTCTTCATTCTCCAATACAAAACCCTATCTTCCCTTACCCAAGGCAGAAACTTCTTATCAACCCTCGCCTTCTCATCTCCTCCAATCTGAACCAAACCGTCTCCAATCTCAAACCCATCAAAATTAACTTGTGCGTTAACTGAATCTTGATTCTGTTGCAGTTTGTCAATGCTCTTAACAATCTTAGCCATTGCTTTGTTCCCTCTTACCCCACTTTCTTTAGCAGTCAATGCCTTGTCAGACTTTTCAATATTTGCATTCTTTGAGGAGTTCTTCTTTCTGGGTGTTGAGAGGTTAAGGATTTCATGGGATTTGAGAAGAAGAGGACCCTTCATCCATGGAGCTGTTGGAACTTTAATGACATCATTGGATTGGGAATTGGAGTCTGATGAGACAGTCAATTCTGTATTTTTGTCTATGGAAAATGAAGAATTTTGGGAATTTTTGAAATAATTTTTGTTGCTTTGTGGGTTGAAGGAGGAAGTAATGGGATTGTAAGCGTAAAATTGGAGGAAAAGAGTGGCAGGCATGAGTGACGAGCTATGGTGGTTGATTTTCTTTTTCTTTCCCAGAAGTGAAAAAGAGTTCGTTAATTCATGTCAGTCTCACAGTCTGGTTATTTCTCCTTGTTTTGTTCTTAGCTTTCTCGCCACTTCCATATATTTTTTTTTTCAATATTATTCAATCTTTTAACATCAATCAAATACCGAAATCTATTTTTGAAAATTTAACTTTCAAATTACTCAATTTTTAGTTCTGTTACTATATTAAAATATTTGGGATAGCTTTTCGTTCGTTTAATAAAAAGTAAAGAATTATGTCAATAATGCGAAACAAACATTGTTACAAATAAGCTTGGGTACAACACTTCTCTGTTCTGAAGATCAGAAAAATTTAAGGAAAAATCCTGCCATAACTTTCAGCTTCTCTTATAAATTTGGCTTAAAACCTGTAATTGAGCTCGGACAGTAAATGAGAGTAACCAAAATATCAGTAACAGCTATAAAGGGCAGACGTTACAAATTTAGACTCATAAAATGTAGGAAATACAAGTTATAGAGGGGAAGGGGAGGAATTTTCTTTGTTTTTTTAATCTATTGTTTGATTCCATAATCGCCAGTTTTTTCATTCTTGCAAACTGTTTTAACTGAGGAAACAATTTTTCCCTCCAATCATCAGCTGTGCAGTTACTGCATGGTCCTTTTAGCCTTTTTCTTTTTTTTTTTTTCTTTTTTTTTTTCACAAATAAGGAAAATATATTAAAATAGCCATTTTCTCTTTGAAATGGTGTGGTCCGTTGTCCTTTATAGTATTTTGAGGCAGAAAAAATAGACCAAATCTTTTCTATGATATATCCTGGCTGGCATTATCCACAAGCAATCAAAATATCCAAAATTTCCCAATTGCCCGAACTTTAATTTTCAAAAGTAACTTGCACAGTATAAGCATAGAAAACACTAGAAGAGGTGCATTTCGACGGCATAGCTTTTTAATTAGCAACATCAATAAAAAATACATTCCAAATAATACAAGCCCCAGAACGCATACAACAGAAATTTATTTAGATCGAGTACATGGCTATGGAGCTTAGGACTAGCTGCAAGTTTTATAAGCATGAAAGCTTCCTAGCACCCAAACATATCTCCTCTAAAAACAAACCACCTCAGTCAAGGGCACTACAAATCTAAAAGAACAAGAAGATTTACATCCAAAGGAAGCATATATCAAAAGCACTCTGTCCGAAATGGATGCCTATGCAAGAGTTCTGACAATGTATGAGATTATGTCAAGGCATGATGTATCACTTCACCTTTTCAAAAGCATCATCCTCTGGATCACGAAGGGTGCCTAGCATCCAATCCATCCATATAGTATAATGACCGTAATTATGGCGGTATGTAGTATGGTGGATGGTGTGATAACCAGCACCCATTATTGGCCATTGCTTGGCATGGATGCAATCGTGAATGTTTGCAGTCCATAGGGCCTCCAGGAATAAGAGACCTATGTGAGTCCTAAAATGTGTAGGGACGACGAAGAGAGCTATAACATGTGGGATTGCTTGTAGTATTCCATCAAGCGGGTGAAATGCCAAGCCTATGGACAAAATTTTCAATTAGTATCTAAAGGATTTGCATGGAAACTCACAATACTAAAAATAATTCCAAACAAATAGCAAGTCTAAGAATTTCAAATAACAAAAACAAGCGAACAGCCTTTTTTGTTTATTTCAGATAAATGGTTTTGCATTTAAATGATTTTTTCAATGGTAATGCACAAATACTACAAAAGAGCTAGTAAGGTAAACAAATCAATCATATATTTAAAATGACATCTCATAACCAACAATGCCAAATATATGGTCATTATGCCAAGATAAACATAGAATCCAAGCTGAAGCACTGATCATTTTCTGTGCATGTTTAATCACACCATATCAATGTTCACCATTCAGAAAGAGATGCCTACAAGATAAAGCCCAGCTCCCTTGTTTCCACATGACAACTGATAAACTATCGCTTAGGTACTCAAACCCCTGGCCATTGGCATTTTTTGTCCCATTGGCCATATGATTTAGGCTTTCCTAAAATCAAGTAAAATTAATTTCCATTAACTTCTAGCTATACCTTTCTCCAATGGCTGTGGAATTCAACATAGAGCAATTATTGTGCATAACAACTCAATTAACAGATAAAAATAATAAGAAATTGGTCCAGACAAAATTTGCACCTTCCTATCTCGCACAAAATTGAAAACAAAAATTATCAATTGTTGAGCAAATAAAAGACTTTAGGCCTATAACCTTGCAGTGAAATTCACAAGCATAAGATTTGATGGATAATCAAAAGAAGAAACCTGATCATATTTGTTAATTTAGAAGAATAATTGGCTGCAGAAGCAATGGTACTTGGTAACAAATGAGGCTGAATTAGCGGTGGAAATAGGACGAAAGGCCATATCGTAGAAACAGTAAACTAAAGAAAAAATTCCAGTGCAATTCTAGCAAACAGAAAGCTGAGTAACCCAAAACTATACTAATAACAGCCAACTTAATCATACATGCTTCAAAAATCATAGTAGAGTACTGTACTAATACCCTTCTGATTACCAGGAACAAGAGAAAGGGAACAAAAATGTTATCCTACTTCAACTCCCGAAGAAAAGGAACAAATGGACTTTTATTCCTAATTCGTTCTCATTCCCCTCATTTCCAGACACAGAACATTTTAAAGAAGGGGAATGAAAAGTAAACAATCATTCCTATTCGTGATACCTTATTCCTGTCAACAAACAGGCCATAAGATTCGCTGGGCGAAGAAATTCTCAATGTGAATAGTTTAGTCGTAACCCAAAGAACCAAAGTCTTCTACTTTGAGTAAGAAGCATGCACATTTGCTAATTATAGAAGAAGAAAATTTTTGAAAGAGCTAGGCTTGCATTCCTCTTTGAGAGGATGTATACCAAAGACCTGGACCCTAAGTCAACAAGAACAAAAAGAGGTATCAAACAACAATGGAAGGACTTGGTAGAAAAAAAAAAAAAAAACAAGAAAATATTCACCCTAAATTCATCTCCACCAGGTCTTCTCTAATTAGCATCCTAACACATGACAACTTTTAAGTCAATGAAATAGTGTTGATTGCTCATGCCTGTACAACTTCTGTAAGTCATAATATACTGAATTGTTTATGACATCGTACTCGCTATAATCTCTTAACATTTAGAGAAAAATTTAAGGTTTCTGCCTAACAAGAGATCAAGGGAAGAAAAATACTTGCTCTAAAACACAAAGCTCTACCATTATAAAGTATTTTAAGGTCTAAACCCACTTTGTCTAACCATTTAACCGTAAGGAGCAACTTAACCATAACAGATTGTAAATTCTAACTGGAAAAATCTTGATGACTAAGTTTCTTCTTACCAGTGAGTTTTATAATCAGAAAGAGGGCTTCGTTTCTACATTTATGTGCATTAGTTATCCCATAAATCACAATTCAACTTGCCACAACATGAACCATAAAGTTGGATTGGATTCATTTAGAACTTACCGGCAAAAGGAGAAAGAGTATTCTGCTTGTTATAAATGTGATGAGTAGCATGAAGATACTTGTACAAAGGTTTTATATCATGCAATTCTCTGTGCATCCAGTAGATCCCAAACTCCACCAAAACAAGATATGCAATTAGATAGATGATGTAGGCAAACCAGCCAACATCAGATATGCTTGCAAAACACTTTGTCCAGCCATTTTCAACCATGTACTCAGAAAGAGATGGAAGAGCGCAGTACCATGGCATAGCCTTCATAGCAACTTGTATTTGCAAGAGCATGGCTGTTCTTGAAGGGATAGCATCTGCAACAAGAATTCTCAAGAGATAAATTGGAGTTGTTATTTTATGTCCAGGCAGAAGGCCAACAAATTTCTATGGATAGTGGAAGACATAAATTGTAAAATGAAATTCAAATGCCGCAAAGTTGCCTGCAAAGCATCTTTCTTCTTATACTCCTAAAAACATATTTATGAAAATCAATGACAAAAAAAAATTTCTTACAAAGTAGAAAAGAAACAAATTTTCTATGGATAGTGGAAGACAATAAATTGTACAATGAAATTCAATTGCCGCAAAGTTGCCTGCAAAGCAATCTTTCTTCTTATACTCTAAAAAACATATTTTATGAAAAATCAATGAAAAAAAAATTTCCTTACAAAGTAGAAAAGAAATATATATATATATATATATATATATATATATATATATATAAGAGAGAGAGGAGAGAGAGAGAGAGAGAGAGAAACTAAACCAGATAGAGAGAGAGAGAGAGAGAGAGAGAGAGAGAAACTAAACAGGATTCTGAGGAAATTTTATCCTTAATGCCGTATTTTTTCAATATATTTCTATAATAGAAACTATATACTCTCCATCTTCAATAAGAAAGTCCAAACAGTTATCAATTAGCAACTTCCAAAAGTGTGCTCAGTAAGACAGAGATATCCTGGAGCTATCTAATAAAAGAACAAGTGATGTTTTCTGTTAGTGCTAATTATTAAATATGAGAACATTTGTCAGTGAATCATATCACAGTTAACATTTCTCATTCTTTGTCACAGAAAAGCAAAGAAGTTCCCCATAAAAAATAAAATAAAAAGAAGTGAAAAGGGAAAAAAGGAAAAGAAGAAACAAATGAAATGCTAAAAGGAGGCAGATATCCATGCCACATAAATCAACTTGATAATTTTGAACATATGACTGAAAAAAGAAACAAATAAAAGCAAATAAGAAAGCAAAATAGGTCGCGACAAAGAAAATGAATCACTAGAACAGACAGTGATAGTAAAGCCATCACCTTACTCAGAAACAAATACAGTTCAGAATTTAGAACAATCAAATTCCATATAGTAAATATTTCAAGAGTTAGAATGAAAATTTATTACTGGTTTGGAAATATGTTTTATCAAATGAATTTGATTAAAAAAAAAAAAAAGGTACACTACTGACTTGATAACTGGGCATTTGAAATTCGGAGTTAACTCGTGAAAGCAACACAGACAACCAAGCAATCAATTATAACATGTATAATTGGCAGAAAGGGACTACAATATACCGTTAATTCAGCACAAAGACAAAAGATACAAACTACGACAACTGGCAAGTGGCCACAGAATGAAGAACTTGACCAGAGAAATAACAAAAGAATCAAAATCTGCAAGCCTGCAACCCGATGGAACTGAAAACATCTTAAAGAAAAATACTACAGTAGCACCATCCATGAACAACAAATCAGCCCAGATTAAAAGTAGACAACTATATAAGATCAGTTCATAGTCAAGCATATGAACTAAAAATATCAAGAAAAAGTTTTAGGGAATAAAGAAAAAAGAAAAGGGATTAAATTATACCCATCAATGAACTAGAAGCACCTAACCAAACCCAGATTCCAAATAATGTCCAAACTGAATTAAACCCACTGAACTTGAACATAAACTTCGGTATAAACAACCAAGACTCAATCCAAAAATAAAAATAAATCGAGCCAGATAGCACACTCGTCAAATAATAAACAAACTAATCCAGATTCGCATTTCAACAAATGAAATACTGTAAAATCATCTATTTGGAAAAAAAATTCCATGAATGCAACATGTTGCATACCTTTAGGAACATAAACGTTGCGCTTCAAGTAATAAATGTAGAAGCACCAGAGTAACCCAGAGATTAAGTAGAGAAGGGTTCCAGCAATGTAGTTACGGAGCCACGTCTGAAAGAAGCGAGGAAGTGGGACCCACCAGTTGGACGGCAGAAGATGGCCTAGAACAATGTCGTTATAGAGCCCAGTCTCATCTAAGAAAAGCTGGAGATACTTGTCGTCCATGGGTTCTCCGGCGAATTGTATTATCGCCGGCAGCGAAAGAGAGAAAGGGCTGTTTTTGAAGGGCAAATATTGTGGGCGAGGAGCGTGAGTGAGCGAGTTGCTTTTAATTTGGAAGGAGATCTTATAGGTGTTAATAAGATATAAATGACAAACGGCATGAAACTCAGAGACAGAGAGGTTTGCTTGAGGAGTGAATGAATATCGAATGTTTTCTTATTTTTTATTCCTAAGAGAATATCTTAATTAGATATTGTACAGAGTAGCAGCGGTCCATTATAGCCGCTGTTGTCCTCCTATTCCAATTGATTTTTTTTTTCTTTTTTTCCTTTTTATAACAATTGATCAGATTGATTAGCTACTTACACAATGATCATGAGCAGGGTATTCAATCCGTTTCCATCCATTTTAACCAAAGTATAAATAGTTATAAATGTGTTATAAACAGATACAAGCAATGAAATTACTTCTTATAACGGATATTAGGATATAATTATTATATTCTAAGTACTTACCACCCGTTACCCGCTATAATAAGATACAGATATTAGATTCTGGGTATTTGCTATCCATTACCTGCTATAATAAATTATTTTGGTAATGTTACCACAGATACCCTATTCATTTATTAGTAAAAAATGCATTTTAAATAAATTCGGGTTTGAATAGTTTAATATATTATTTCTAGCATTTAAATTTTAATTAACATCCTAGCTTTGCACAAAATGTGATTATCATTAGATAATCATGTAATTTTGAAATTAAATAATGAATGCAAGATTTGGAGAGTAATACAAATCTTTGATTAGAGGATATGTCAATTGTCAAGGAGAGCATTTGCTAGCAAAAGTCTTTTAGCTTCAATCTTTGTTTTGGTTCTCAATATTTAGGCTGTCACACCATATAAATGAATAAGCCTTTATGTCTAATTAATTAAATAGTGGATAATATTACTTCAATTTCATATTGGAGTAACGGTATGTTTTGCCATTTTTTCTGTCTTCATTCATTAGTATTATTTTTCTTTTGAGTACTGTGAAAAGAGATTTAAATTTGGATTTACTGCTCGATTATATATTGTATATACATTTATCGATGAATTATGTTTTATATGTCATTTTTTATACTATTTTAGTTATCTCTCTTGACATTATTCTTAGTATGTATATCAATAATTTATATTCGTTTATATGAATTATTACAAGTTAGGATACTAAAACATTAACATAACATGTTTGGGTTAAAGTAATATTTTCATAGATATAATCATATAATATTCCTAATTATATATTAGAACATTTGTGATGAAACTTTAGTTATTACCTAATATAGTAATATTGTTGTCATTCATATTTAAAATAATAACGTCCTCACCAACTACCAGTTGATTTGGTGAGATGAAGTATTGGATCCCTTAATCAATTAGAGTTCAAATTTTAACATTGTAAATAGAGAAAACTGAGTTAGGAGGATTGCTTCCATAGTGGGCCTTTGTAGAATGTGAATTCAGGATCGCCTCCTTAACGAGCCTTTGTAGAATTTGAATCCGGACTTGATGGACATGTAAAATACCGGGTGATTTACCGAAAAAAATAAATATGATTATTTTTAGTCAAAGAAATGTTGATTACAGTATTTTATTAGCGGAGATGGCTGTATTAGCAAGTCAACAATACCTCTATGTACAGTACTAGCAACATAAAGGCCCAGGCCCAAGATGAAATATCCATATCAAAACGCACCATTCTGATCGTTGAATCATTGAAAAATCGAGCATCCTTTACAGAGAGGGGTCAAGAAGAGAAAAGGGAACGATAAAAAATGAGTCCAGAAGATGAGGAAGAAGAAGAAGAAGAAAAAGAAATAGATGATGAAGATGAGAGAAGAGAAAAGGCAATAGCATCAACACCACCTTTGCAGCCTAATTTCAAGCGCAAACATGTCTCTCAAGATCAGGTCTCCAAGTTCCAAGTATAATTACACTACCCCTCTTGTATGTTACATATACCTGTATGTACACGTGAATTTAAATGTTTTATTTTGATTGTATAAAAACCAAATTTTTAATCTTTAATGTATTTTTTTTTATTGGGCAATCCTTTATTTTTACGAAGGAATTGCGATTATATTTTATTTTACTTTTATTTCACAGCTATATATTTTCAACTGGGTCTGGTAAATTAGCTAGTAATATAATGGCTATTATTTTTTTTTTTGGCATCCTAATGTCATATGATTATGTTTGGTAGGAGATACTTACTGAAACAAGAGTTCAATAGAATTATGAAGTAAAATATCATTCAATTGAGCTATGATCTTTGTTTTTTGCTTCAGTGCTCCTGGAGGAGTTTGCTTCTTATGTTCATAATGACAAAGGCCTAAAATAATTGCTTGAAAATACATGATTTGCAAATTATTATGCATAAATTGCTCGTAGTTAAATAGCTGAAATCTCATATTTATTTGTTTGTTCAGCTCCCTCTTGTACTTGTTCACAAATGATATGGGCATGCTTGTATGTGTTGTGTGTGTATAGAGAGAAGAACTAGTGTTTGTTCACAAATGATATGGGCATGCTTGTATGTGTTGTGTGTGTATAGAGAGAAGAACTAGTGTTTGTTCACAAATGATATGGGCATGCTTGTATGTGTTGTGTGTGTATAGAGAGAAGAACTAGTGTTTGTTCACAAATGATATGGGCATGCTTGTACCTTTTTCGCGCCTACTAAGAGCCAAAAGTTTAATAAAATAATCAAAAAGATGGAGAATTTATTTTAGTAATGGGAAAATGTTTGGAGCTGGACATGCTTTGTCAAGAAGAAAGCTCTTATTTTTCTCCCATTTTTTGCAACTCTTTTCCTCTTAAAAAATTTTCTAATGGAAATTTTTGAGTTCTTCTGTTTTATAAGGAGCTACATAAGAGGCGCTTAAGTGATCAAAGGTTCAGAAAGAAGTCGTGAAAGGTTACTTTTCTCATTAAGGTATTTTCCATTGAATTTTCATGCCATTGTCTATGTTTACATATCTTTGATGTCTTTTTCTGAATTTCAGAATGGCAACTTGGTAGATTGCAATAGGAAAGACCTCAATGATAGTGATGGTATAGATTCAATAGAAAAATTGAAGAATCAAGGCGTCACCAACTTTGAAAAACCCACGCATGACAGGTATTAATTTGTCAGCAGAGCAAGAATATTTTGTTGCACACGTCAAGCGACGCAAAAGAAGCACCAGAAATTTGTATTGGGGTATAGTTTTCTAGTAGCAATTTCATGCTGAATTGATTAACTTTGCATGGCAAATATATTGTATTTCATACATTCATTCATGGACTACTTGTAGGTGGGATTCTTATACTTGATTGATATGGTTTGGGGGGAATATTCAGCATGCATGCATATTGCACAAATAGACCAGGGGAACGTGATTTGGTCAACAAATTTAACTTTTCTTTTTTTGGCAAAAGATACTTGTACGGCTGTATCTTTTCTAATTTAAAAAGTGAAGAATTCTTTTCTGAAACAATTAGAACCGGAAAGGCCTAATATTGAGTGGTGAAAAACAGTCAGCAACACAACTTTTCATTCTTTTTGTTCTCAGGAGGTCCATCCAGCCTATATAATGGACTGTAGTGCGCCTTTGGGCCTTTTATTGTAAAACCCTTGAGACTCCAGTTGGGGTTTCCAAATTTTAACAAGCTGAGGCTTGTCCCTTTGTGGCATTAAAGAGTCTCGATGTTTTTTGTTTTGTGCACATTATGCTTGCATTTTTTGGGTTGGTGCTTTTGTTAATACAAAATGCCTAGGAATATAGATCTCGCTCCAATATTAAAATCTCCGAGCTTATTGCTGCAACTTAACAGATTAGGGTTGTTGCACCTTATCTGTTGGCTGGCTGGATTTAGATAATTGGAAGAGGTTCTTACCATGCTAAGTTGAACAGTTTAGCATTCCACAAGAATTTACAGCATTTGTCTTTTTGCTTTGTAATCCATTTTGGATGCGATGTTCTTTGCTCCTACCTCCCAATCTTGTAGGTGTAACAGCTGAACCAGTCAATATTGCAATGTGCTTTTGTGGTTATTCTGGAGGCTTCTTCTTTAATAAATATTTCTTGTTCCCTCAATGGCAAAGCAAGATAAGGCAATGCTTTTTTGAAGTTGATGTTAATGCTGGAAACAAATTATCTTTAAGATGTCTATGTTTTTTTAATATTCTCTTTCTGCGTTGTTTTAAAAATTTATTTTAGTTAGAAAAAGCTGAATTTTTTGTAGGCTTGACACGAAGGAAAGGTTGGGAAGAAAAGCTTAACCATTGTAGATTACGTACCGCATATGAGAAATCCTAACAAATATTACAAAAGAGAACTTCCAACCATTGCCCGAGGAATATCAACTGGCAGGTCAGGATAAAACTATCATACATTTTTTTTCAGCAGAAACCGTTTAAGCGATAAAACGGGGGTACAAGTTCCATCAAAAGGGAATAGAGAAGGAGTTTGTAATGCTTCCTTTTTGAAGTAATACTTTATCGAAGCAATTCTTTGTACATTATAATTTTTGGCAGTTTTCAGCCAACCTGCTTTTTGTATTTTTTATTCTCAAAGAAAAACATTTTCCTGGGATTTCATGGTTTAACTGTGGGCAACAATCACTATAGTGGGCACCCCTTTCAAATATTTGATAGATCTCTTTCAAACTTTGGTATTTGTACAGCTTAGTCTCTGCGGCAAGAGCATTGATGAAGCTATCATTCAGCCCTTGGGATTTCGACAAGTAAAAAACATAAATATTTGTCATTTCATCTGTTTCCGCTTATACATGAGAAGTCCTAAGGAGCAATGTTTAGAATGAATTTTTTTTTTTTTTTAAAATATTCAAAATTTTAGATTACCAGTTACAAAAAAGTGAATAACTAAAGGAAATTACAGGATAGGTTAATAGAGTTGATTTAGCAGGTAACCAGATGGTTTATAAAACACATTTTTTTTTTATTGATTAATAAATATGAAAAGATGAATCGATTTATTGTACCTAGCACAATAAATAACTTGCAAATTGTAATGTAAATTATAATTTCAAGATTTAAAACTAACACAGGCCCTATGAAGACGATTACAATGTTTTATTATTACAAACAATAATACAGAAGATTGACCTAAACAGCATTGTTAACAAGACAAAAATTAA